GCCAGACGACTTGTAGGCATGACCCTCATGGATAGTCGCTGTGCCTCGTCTGCCTTTCGTAGCTTACCAGCTGATGTGACGGGAAGCAGGTTCGCGACAGAAGCCGAGCGCTGCTGGACCGTTGGGCGATCGACGGGCGAGCGTTGGTTCTCGACAACTTTGGGACGACCTGCATGCGCGTATGACACCAGCACGGCCATGTCGCAGCTCTTTCCCTTGTCCCATCTCGACACTGACATGGTCCTCGCCTTGCACTCTTGTGAGAGATCGTGGACAACAACGTCATCGTAGTCGTATTCAGAATCAGAGCCAGACGCGTCGTCGGCAGTCAGGTCTTCTTCGCTGGATAGGTATCGCTCTTGGAAGACGGCGCCTTCCTTGTTGTTGCTGGTGGTAGTGGGTGGACTTGGTCGTTCTGTGGTAGCGGAGTCTATGCGTAGCGTGTCGGGAGCATCGTCGCACAGGTTAGGGCTCGAGGCGGCACTGTCGGTGCTGGAGCGTTGTTGAAGGCGTGCGACAACTTCGGGCTTGTCGAATGTCCACTGCTTCAACTGCGAAGTTACGGTTGCGTCGACCATGGTTGCTAGTGAGAAGCAGCAATTGCAGCTGCAATGGCTCGTCCGGTGGTGATGATATATCGGACTGAGCGGCAGCCGGCGAGGGTTGAAACCAAGGGCGTGCAGTCCTACGCGCCAATAGTCGGAGACGTGTGCGTGGCTTGGGAACACAAGGCAAGCCGGCGTCTGAGTGAGACTGGTCCTGTCGCACGGGTTCGGCTTCCTGGTGAGTAGCAACAACTGGAGTGTGAGATGTCGTGGAGGGGCACTGTGGGTATAGGGTAGCGTCGAGCAATGGGGAGGGGTGAAGTGCGGCCGACGCTATATTACACAAATTGGCGACGCCTGTATATATTGCAGCACTTTCCAGGTTCTGCCCCCCTGGCAGCCGTCGAGGTTTCAAGTACAACCGAGTACGGTGGAGACGGGCGAGCGAGCAGGGAGGGAACCCAAGAGTCAGTTCACCGTGTCGGTGCGCCATTCATCATCTCACGCTGGACTAGCACCAGGCACTGACGACTTTCAATGGCGCAACTCTCCAGCCCTCTGCAGCTTGCGCTTGCACTTGCACTAGCTGCCGGCTGGCGAGGTGTGCTGAGGGGCCTGACGTGAGTGGCCCACGACGAGTTTCAAGACGCTCAGCGCGCACACCCTCAGCACATGAGCGAGCGCCTACTGGGAACTCATGGCGTGCACACCAGACTGATGCCGTTGCAAAAGGACCCTGAGTCGTTGCGATGGCAATGTCACCACAGGACGGGACGCGTTCATGATCGCCATCCTTTCATCAGCGCGAACATGGCACCATTTCCTTTCTCGACGGTGACCTGACAGGTGTTCCTGTGCCGCTCAGGGGCAGCACCACTCACCGTCCGCCGTCGCTAGATGGGGCGCCCACTGTGTGGGGTTGGCCCAGGAGCGGACTACGCCATTGCCGAAAAGATCATCGATAACTGTCACCATGTCTTTTTTCTTTGCCCGCTCTAACCGTTGCTTGCATTGGCAAGCCCCGAGAGCCCTGGAAGACCCTTCTTTCTCAAAACTCTCAGAGCACGAGCGCAGGCTGACCCATCTCGTGGAGTTTGCTCCGACGCCTGCTGCCCCCGGGACCCGGAGTCGCACAGCTGCTGACTGCGCGAAAATGTCCTTGGCCGTCATGCCTATCTTTTTCAGCCAGGAACGCGCTGATCCACTGGCTCTATTCTCGGTCCAAACTCACCTGCATGCTGCGGTCCATTTTACGTGCAGACGGTGTGCACGGTCACCGCCCAGCGTACTATTCGTTGCTGCACCATCTATTGCCCGCCCACACCGCCAACACCATATCCAGGCCTACCCTGGCCCCCTCGCAGCCTATACCTACAGTTCATCGTGTGCCGCACTCACTCATCAATCACAAACCGCACAAGATTGCGTTGATGCATTGAGTCAAGATACGTCCCGCGATCTATCTGCGAGGGTCTTCTGATTCCCTGAAGAGTCAGTCACGTCGCCGAATGAAGCCACTAGCATCGACTCTCGGCAATCTGGGTATATTACACTACGCCTTAGCAGCTTATCGTCGGAGCTTAGGACCGTGCTAGCTGCCCACAGTACTCAGGTGCTTTCCAAATAAGTCATCGTTGGACGGTGAGCCTCGTGAGGGTTGCCTCTGATGCCAGTCATTAGGCCAATCCTCGGATTAGCCTCGCACTCTACACCAACATGGCAGGCCCTAGTCACAACGTGATCGGAAGCTCATCTCTCGTCTCACAATGCGACGTCCTTTAGACAATAGTCCATTCTTGGCCACTACCGCTCACCTCAGCATTTTCTGTGGTAGCCTTGTGGTAGCCTGTTGCATCCCAATAGTCCGGCCCTATCATCCTACGTCACAAGGCTGGTAAGGCACACCCAAAAGGGTCTGGTACTCCAACACCAGCGGCCGTTTCATCGTCTGGTTTCTTTTCATCATGTTCGCATCATCCTGAAGAACTGTTCGGTTCACGCTCAAACGTGCCGTCTAGGCCCTGCATCGAGTCTGCATGTCTCATATGCAGTGTCATAGCGACGGTTCCGCACACGTTGCCACGCCCAACCGTACAGCGTAGTACCAAAGTCGGCTTCGGAGATGTTCTCATCGTCTCAACGTTGTGACGATGTTGGTTGCTTACAAGAAACGCACAAAGACCGGAGACGCCCCTCCACCCGATTTGTCACTGCAGCCGCACAACATTGGCGCTTCGAGAACACGATCAGTCGAATAAGGATCGCCACAGGAGTCTGTACGCTAATGGCCTTCCTATAGCGAGAACCATTCTCCTTTGCGACAGCGCGATCTGGAGTCGAGTCTGAACTGTAGAAAGTCTGGTTGGAGTAAACAGGTGCGGGCTCCAGGATTCTGAGACATGCACAAAGATTCAGCCCCATGAGGTCGCACACGAATTCCTTGGTGCTTGGTCTTGCTTACTTTGACGCGATGATCTGAGATGGAGCTACTGGTCTGTGTTCAAACGTTACCAACAACGGTGCTAGTACTTCAGCAGCTTTGTGGCACGGATATCTATAAGTTGTGCTGACAGCGAAGCCTTTTTATACACTGGGTTACTTCACAGTGTCTCAACTTACCCTGGTTTCTGGCGGCAAACGCATATCCAGATCACCCCTACAACGGCCGACCTGTTGGTATTGATGCGCAAGCAATCGTTATCAGGCACTGGCCACTGAAACAAACAGACACTGCCATATGAGAGGCTCAGAAGACAGGCAATGGAAAGGCGAAGCTTCTGAACGGGTGTGCCTTATTAGGCGTACCGTTTCGTCTTGGGCCGCAAACAGCTCCAATTGACAAGAACTTCCGGGTCTCGATCGACGGGTTGACCCAAGAATGCCACGTATAATACCCACGCCTTAGCAAAAACTTCTCGAACATCTGATCATCAGTGATGATATTGTCGGCACACCATCTATCAGCTTATGCTTGGAAGCGAGTTTCACATAGATTGTGGTCAACCACCATCGCGGCGCAGATGTACCGGTTACCGTGTGTTGGTAATATTCGTGGGGTACGTCGCACCAATGAGACTAAGACTGGTGCATGACGCAAGAGACCATGCCTAAGCTATATCAATTCCCATATTACAACTGTCGCAAGGGCCAAAGATTAACCGGTCGACATACCGCGTGGGGTAACGACTGTAGAAGCACCGGAAGCATTGTCACCAGAAGACAGATGGAGAGACGAGACAACAACGGCCTAACATCGGTGCTCTTCGATTTCTTATCAGACAATGGTGCGATATTGGAACAGTGCTCTTATTGACAAGTATCAGTGTTTGCCTTCATACGCGTCGTCACCGCATCTCTATGATTCATGACCTCCGGATGCACATGCGCGCACTGGTAAATGCAACGTGCTATCGCACCTTCTCAGGGTCCAGGTCGCGTGCTCAACCGATGACGAGAACGAATGCAAAGTACTCGCCTTCGCAATGTTGTGTTCGCTTCAATCTTTCGAGTGGCGCATGAGATGGAATACAGAGCAAGACAACCTCGAAAGTCAACTTGAATGATTCAATTGACGGGCGACTAACGACAATATTACAGTATCAACTGTAGAAACAGCGAAGAACTAACCTCATAGATCGAGATGCATACAAACATCCCAACAAAATATCCAGATAAGGCACGATAAGCGCCAAAAGCAACAGTGTATAACGAAAAACGTTCGCTTCGGATAGGTGCCTTCCGTCCCCAAGCTTCCCCGCATGGACTCATCCCATCAGCAACATCATTGAGACAGCAGCAGAGGAAGCGACGAGGAGCGACACGCCATGGGCGGCTACGTATCTTCTGTGCGACGACGCTTCTGTAGGCCGAGAAACATAAGAATCCACAGCATTCACCACATCCACAGCATTCTCTTTCGTACCTAAGGCCAAGGTGCGTTTTCGCAGATCCCATGGATTAAACGTGGAAATCAATGGAATTAAGTTCCTAGTTCCTTACTTGGCACATCTTGTTCGAGACTCTTGTGCCTTGTTGTTGACCTAAAGCTCAATCCGCTCTCGCATCCCCGCATCGCGAATGCCGGTTGTTGAGCGGAAGAAGGAAGTATGCCACAACAAGTGCATTGCATGTGAATTTCTGTCGTTAGGAGGAGAGTCTGCTACATATCATGACAATATTACCTTTGACCAAACCTCAGTGCAACAATCAACATCCACTCGCTTCACTTCACTTCGTTTCTTGTTTTGTTCTTTTCTTACACTCGTTTATAATTGAACTCGCGCACTCTCCGCGGAAGACATGGCGACTATGCTGCAAACAGAGGTTGAGTACCAGACACCGGTGATGATGGCGACGGCTGTGTCTACACCGCGGAAACTATGGGAACATCCGGATCCAAAGTCTACGGCTATGTGGAAGTTTATGCAGGATGCCAATGCGAGACGTGGATTACATATGCAGGTACGTGTGACAATTTGGAACAGGCGGAATGAGGAACAAGAGTTGGACGAAGCATCGAGATGGTTGATCGAGATCTTTAACATGGACAAGAAGCCAACGTCTTTAGGCGGGAGGGAAGGGCACAAGACCCTTGCGCGAAGCCCACGAATCCAGTGATATGAACATGGGTGCATGGCTGTCGCGTGTCATCAAGCCTCATTGTCATCGACAACAGCAGCAGCAGCAGCAACAACAACAACAACAACAACAACAACAACAACAACCAGTAGACAAGGTACAACATCGCTAACATGTCCCACAGACGTTCCGCGACCTCTACAACTGGAGCGTCGGACCCTCACGCACTGATTTCTGGGTCGACATGTGGAAAGCTAGCAACCTCATCTACTCCGGTACCTACACCACCGTCGTCGACACCTCCCTCCCCATGGAGACAAATCCTCACTGGTTCCAAGGCACTTATCTCAACTTTGCCGAAAACGTCCTCTTTACCGCCTCTCCTACCGATTCTACCGTCCGCACCACAACCCACAAAGAAGAGTCTAAGATCGCGTTGACAGAGATCCGCGAGGGCAACACTGAAATTAGACATCTAACTTGGGGTGATCTGCGACGACGCGTGGGTGTTCTCGCGAATGCTTTGCGTGCTAGGGGGGTGGGCAAGGGTGATCGCGTCGCTGTGATTGCATCAACCAGTTTTGATACGTTTATTGCTTTCATGGCGACGGTTACTGTCGGTGCACTATTCAGCTCTAGTAGTACTGATATGGGTACGAAAGGCATCCTCGAACGATTATTGCAGATCCGTCCCAAGTACGTTCTTGTGGATGATTGGGCAGTGTACAATGGAAAGACCATCGATCTGAGACCGAAGATCGAGGGAATCCTTGAGGGCATGGAGAGCGGTGGTGTGGCGGAGTTTGAGGGTGTTATTGTGCAGCCTAGGTTTCCTGGGAGGCCGGCTGACGTTGGAGGTTTGTCGAAGACGGTACGGTTGGATGAGTTTTTGGATGTTGCGGGAGGGAACGACACCTTGGTGTTTGAGCGTGTGGCTTTCAGAGATCCGTTTCTGATTGTCTATTCCAGTGGGACGACGGGTGTGCCAAAGTGCATTGTGCATTCCACTGGTGGTGTGCTCATGAATGTTTGCAAAGAGAGTATACTGCACAAGGAGATGACACCTGAAAGTGTGATTCTGCAGTATACTACCGTAAGTTCTTCCCCATCTCATCTCTCGCTCAACAAATGACTGACTGGTAAACACAGACTGGATGGATAATGTACGTTGTATCCGTACAAGTTTGTCTCTTCGGTACCCGTTCCGTCCTTTACGATGGCTCTCCCTTCCAACCGTCCCCAGAGGCTTTCCTCTCTATCCTAGAAGAACAGCGCGTGACCGACTTCGGCACCTCACCACGTTTCCTCCACGAGCTTCAAAAACGCAACATCTCACCCCGCAACCTGTTTCAGCTCTCCCACCTAAAGAGCGTAGGAACAACCGGCATGGTCCTCACAGAAGCGCAATTCGAATGGTTCTACGACGCTGGTTTCCCCACCTCCGTTCACCTACGCAACCAATCCGGTGGCACAGATATTGCTGGACGTTTTGGACTTGAGAACCCACTTCAGCCCGTTTACGCAGGCGGATGCCAAGGTCCTGCTCTAGGCACAAAGATTGAGGTTTACGACTCCCTCATCGAATCGGGTCCAGGCTGCGCAATCCCCGACGGCGAACCAGGTGAACTCGTCGCTACCGCCTCATTCCCTAACCAGCCAGTCTACTTCTGGGGCGACGACGCTCAAAATACGCGGTACCAGTCTGCATACTTTACTCGCTTCCCTGGAGTATGGACGCACGGCGACTTCATCCAGATGCACCCCATCACAGGCCAAATCTTGTTCCTTGGCCGCGCAGATGGCGTGCTGAATCCCAGCGGTGTGCGTTTTGGTTCCGCAGATATCTACAGCGTTATTGAGACGCATTTCCCCGAAGTGGCGGATAGCATCTGTGTAGGACAACGGCGTCCGGGGGATGTTGACGAGAGTGTCATTCTCTTTCTCAAGATGAACAAGGGGTTCGGGTACACCGAGTCTCTGGTGAACAAGATCAAAAGTAAGATTGCTGAGGAGAGGAGTCGGCGACATGTTCCAAAATACGTGTTCCAGACTTGGGATATTCCGGTACGTTCTCCAATTCCTTCACTTCTTTCTTTCGAATTACAGGGTACTAACAAACATTCATCAGACTACAGTAAATTTGAAGAAGGTCGAGTTACCTGTCAAGCAGATCGTGTCCGGCAAGAAGATCAAGCCAAGCGGAACGTTGGCGAACCCTGAAAGTCTTAAGTTCTATGAGCAGTTTGCGGATGTGGAGAACGTGGTCAGGAGGATGACGAATGAGAAGAAGTCATATAGGAGGAGTACGTTATAGGTGTGAGAGGATAGACCATCGACTTGGTGTTTAGGTGACGGTGTCTGGTGTCCTTACTTCTTTTCCCTTGAACATTTTTACTTCGACTTTATACCTATAGATTCCTTTCTTTCGGCAAAGTCGCCATCGTGCGACGCATGTATATCTTAGCTATAACACATACATAATTTTATAACTTTGAATCATGAGCGTCGAGCACTTGTCGTGAGTCAATCCTGCAGATCAACAGACGATGTAGCGATGAAGCACATGACACAGATCACTCAGTTAGCAAACACGCACGACCTGCTTCTGAAAGAATAATAGTAATCGTCGCATTCAAAAACCTGCCATTTGCCCATTGAAGAGAAAATCTAGGCGCTCCGTACCGCCATGAAGTAAGTCGGCGCGTGTCTGAAGACTTTTCTTTCGCCAATACGCCGTTGAACGCCCTTGTCATGCCTCCACCTCTTGCTCGCCTCCCGCGACATCCCCTCTCGCGTCCCCAGCTACTTCGCACACCAAATCATCAGCCCTCATCGCTGTCCTTTGTCCGTGTGATAACATTGATCGTATATCCTCATGCGCTTAGTTCTTCTCAGCGACCATGTTCTCTGTGCCCACAGTTAGCTCTAGTTCCCCTGGTAAACCCCATTATAGGGCTCATATAGTTTCCAACATACTCTGCTGTGTCAAAAGCAGTCCGTAGCGCTTCTTGATGGTGACCCTGTGCCTCGAGTACTTGTCGTCGGGGGAGAAACGAGCGGGATGCGCGCTCTTGCTGACTTCGCCATCGATGACCTTCTTCAGCGTGTAGATGCGCTTGGCCGGGTTTGCCGGGTCGGGGATGTACATAAGATGCATGCTGTGGGAACGTCAGTTTGCGCTCTTCTCGTCTTGTCTCGCAGCTACTAGGATCGCGCGGCGTGCGCTCCTCCAGCGCAGAGGCAGTAGAGTTGACTAACGTGTTGGTATTGGAGTTGCGGAAGAACTACGGTGTGAGATGTGTGTTGGCGGAGCGAACGTGGTAGGTGAAGGTTCGTTGGCGCGTAGGATGAGTTCGCGATATCGAAGCTTGAATATTCTAGCGGAGTTTTTTGCGGACCACCGAGCTCTGGGTTTCCGCCAAGCCCACACCCCTGCCACACCACTTTACCTTGTTTGGCCTGTTTGCATTGACTGGACCAAACCTCCACATCATCCACTTTCCGCATACCGCATACCGTGTACTGAACCTCACAAGTCGTCGTGTAGTCGTTGCATACATTTCCACGTTCACAGCGAACATGGCGCGATTCCAGATTATTCTCGCGGTTCTCGCATCCTTCATATGGTGCTCAAGCGCACAATTCGGCTTCTTCGATCAGATGTTCGGTGGTGGAGGTGGACAGCAACATCAAGAGCCACAGAATGTGAGGAGTGATAGTAGCTGGTACCAGGCACAATACGAGGGCGGTACGTCAATCTGTTCCTTTTCTACGCATCGCATCTTCGTTCTTAGTCCACAACCCGTTCACACTACTTCTATCGCACACGTTCTACAGTCACATCTAATGGCGAGACACCTAAATTCACTGCTAATGTTCCATCGCAGCACAATGCTCTCACTACCTCTGCCCCGGCACCCTTTCTTGCGTCCACTTCCCGCACCACTGCCCTTGCGCTTGGGAAAATGTAGAAGACAAAGTCGAACTCGGCGACGGCATCGCGATCTGTGGCAGCAAGGGAGGATGGGCCAACGGCGAGTTTGCAAAGAAGGTCGAGTTGGCCAGGAAAGGCCTGCTATAAGGGATGAGTAGTTGGAGTTACCGTAAGAGAAGGAGCATAATTGAGCTCAGCGTTATAAGGTTGGGCCGCGGAGAGCTCGTGTCGATTGGACGTCAAGCAAATGGTCGTAGCTTGCAAAATACCATACGGCAAACGGGAGGAATCATGAAGAAGCTGGAATTGGGCCGAGTAGGCCAGGTCATGAATTCGTCATATCGCAAATATACCAATACCAATAACGCCTGTACTATGCAACGAGCGCCCTAACCCATCATCTCTTGACATATTTATACCGGTACCCCTGTTTCCCATCCTTTGCCTCTCTCTCTTCATCAACACCAACCTCTTCCCTCCCCCACTGTCTCATCAACACTTTGCCAAGCAACTTCTTCTCCTCCTCTATCTCCCTGACACTTTCGGTCCACTGTCCATCACGCTTACCCACCACTGTTTTAGCCTTCTCCTTCATAAGTTTACTAAGCAGTGTAGCTAATTTCTCATCCATTTGTTTGTTGATAGCGTCGTTTTCAGCAGCTTGGTTCGCAAGACGTGTCTCGAGGGCTGCTTTCTCGGAGCGAAGAACGGAAAGTTGGGCTTCCAAGGTGGCTGTTGTGTCTTGAGATGCGGATGTGGATGTTGCTTTAAGGGTCTTGTTGTCCTTGCGAAGAGCGGAGAGTTCGGACTTGAGGGTTTTTGTTTCGGAGACTTGTTTGCGGATAATTTCGCGGAGATTAGCGATTTCGCTATCCTTTGCGTTTGCCCCTGTTGCAAATGATGAAACCGTAGTGTCTTCGTCTGTCTCCTCTTCCAGCTTTGCGGATGCGGCGGCGCGGAGCCTCTCGACTTCTTCTTTAGCCCGTTTGAGGTCTTTGGTAAGACTCCTCTTCTCGCTACGCTCTTGCTCGAGCACTGCGCCGGCTTTGCGCACAGCATCCTCCGCCTTGTCGCGGACGTCCTCCATCATAGCCTCGTGTCCTTCTATCATGTCTTCATGTTGGTCGCGTAACTCTTTGTATTTGTTCTCTGCTTCAATCTTCAACTCCTTCATCTTGTTCAGCTTCTTCTCGAGGTCGTTGACACGGCGATCTGCCTCGGCGCGAGCATCGCGCAGACGGTCGTTGGCATCTTCCAAGTCTTGCTTGAAGCATTCTGCGTCAGCTCGGGCTTTGGCACTCTCACGATGAGCCTCTGCGAGCTGCTGGCGAAGATTCGTGTTGCCCGTCTCGAGACTCTGTAGCCGACCCTGGGCCGTGTTCAATCGTTGCTCAGCATGCTCTTGCGATTCAACAAAAGAGGAAATCTCTTGTTCTTTTGCAGATAGGTCGGACTGAACGGATAGCAGTTGGGACTGCAAGGATCTTATGCGCGCTTCGAGCTCCGCTACCTGCGGGGTGTGTCCATCGCTCGCAGATACTCCGATGCCAGGACGCTCTAGTTGCGACTCTAGCGACTTGACGTATCTTTGTAGAGCGGATGTACTCTGCAATTGTTGATCTTTAGCAGCTAGGTCTGCAAGCGCAGATGCAAGCTGCGTCTCAAGAGAACCGAAACGCTTCTTCAGATCACCTGTGTTCGATCGGTGCTGTTCCTTCGTCGTACTTTCCGCGCGGACGGCTTCGAGTTGTGACTGAAGATCTCTCACGCAAGTCTCCAGATCGGCCGAGCGACGAGTCCCCTGATCCGTTGCGGTGAGGTCCCTCCGTGCGGTCTCCAGCTCTGACTGCAGAGTGCGGAGTCGAGAGTTGAGATCAAGATTTGTATGAAACAGCTGCTGCTTAGCTGCCACATCGGCGTGTGAGCATTCAATTTCAAATTTGGCAGCCTGGAGTTGGCCTTCCAGTTCGGCAATGCGGGCTGTGTGGCGTTGAGCTTTGAGTGCGATAGCGGAATGCACCTCGTCTCTTCTTCGAGCCTCCTCACGAGCTGCCTTTGCGTCGGATGTAGCCGTTTCAAGGCTTGATTGCAAAGCATTCGCTCGCGCTTGGACCGAGGAAAGTTGCTCGGTCAACAATAGACGCTCCTTTTCCGCATCTTCACTACCATGTCCAGCTTCGTGGAGTTGCGTCTCCTTCAGGTCGTGGAGTTCACGCTCGTGTATTTGGCGTACCTGTGCCAGCTCTGCTTGAACTTCCTCTAGCTTCATGTCCTTGTCTTCGACCTCTTCGGTGAGTTGTCGTTTCGATTCTTCGAGAGATTTTCGTTGCCGTTCAAACTCTTCCAGCATGGTCTCCAGCTTGGTGAGGTTTTGGAGACGCATCTCTTCTCCGAAGTCATGCATCCTGGTCTCCAACGCATCCTCTCGCGCTTTCATGTCGGCATCCGCAGCTGCGTGAGCTGCTTCATCGTCTGCACGTTGCTGTTCCATTTTCTTCTCTAGGTTTGACACCTTCTCCTTATGCTTGTAGTTGTCGTTGCGTGTGCTCTCGAGCTCTGAGCGGGTATACGATAGGATTGTCTCGAGTTCGGTAATGCGCGATCTCGAAGTGGATTCGTGTTGTTCAAGGCGATGTTGCAGCTCTGCGATCTTATTCCGAGCCACATCCTGCTCACTTGTATCGATGATGGCCGAGGTGTGGCGTATGACCGTCTCTTGGGTAGGCTTGCGCGGTGTATCGTAGTCCTCGACGGTGGGTTGCAAAGATCGGGCTTTCGGAGGTGAGGATCGTGGGACTTGTAGATAACTATGTCTTGGTGCATGTAGCGGCGTCCCTGTGATTGCGCCCTCCATCTCCGTGTCTGGTAGATTGCTGAGAAAGCTCCGGACCTTCTCCTCGTTTTCCATAGACCGCTCAGATGCTGGTATACTGTGCTGACGCTCATTCTTTGTGCCGTTTGCGCGCCTCGTAGGGGAAGTGGTGCGAGATCGACTCTTTCTCCTCTGCTCCGTGTCCTCCACCACGACTGCCGGCTCGCCCACTTCTGTTGCCTGCCTGCTCTCACTTCCATCCTGTATAGCGTCCATTCTTATCACGGGTCGTTTTGTGTTGGCTTCTTTCCGCGATTTTATCTGCGCCAGCGGGAGATCTGCCGTCATCCAGTAGGTCATGTTCATGGTGAAGTCTTCTGGCCCTTCAATCTCGCTCGTGTCTACGTGATCGACGGGCGGTTGGTGGTGGTCTTCTAGTTCGGTCGACTCGAACGTGGAATTGAGGCCCAGAGCATCGAGATCCATTTCATATTGCGATCCATCTTGGGACGGGCGACGCGCTGGACTGCGTTGAGGCGATTGGAAGCGCGTGGGGCTGGCCGTATAC